AAAGATCGTCTTGCAGCCAGTTTTTGTCTCTCGACCCGCGTCCAGTTGCCTCGTTGTGTGGCTGAGATTTCCCTCTTTGTGCGGCCAAGAAAGATTGTCTTGCAGCCAGTTTTTGTCTCTCGACCCAGCCGGATTTGGAAGCTTTTCGGAAACTTCACCGAGCCTTTGGATCTGTGTGATCTGTGGCTGTGGTTGACTCCTGAGAACTCTTTGACTCGTTGACTTCTTTGCCCGGGTCCGGTCTCCCCCCGTTGGCTCTCCTAACGCACTTTATAGTGTCGTTATGCACTGTAGGGCAGTAGAAATGCTCCAATAGCCTCATCACGTGTTTTTTTTTTTTTTGAACCGCAAGTACCCCTGGGCACTCACCAAGTACTTCTATCCTCAAAGTATACCGCAAAGTGCGCACTATCTTCACAGCCCCTTGCGCCCAGTGAATAGCACTACTCTCTCGTACATGTAATTCTAGTATTGAGGCCGGGCGTTTTTCCAAACAGGGTGTGCATGCTACGCGCTTGCAAACCAGTGGAGTCATTCGTTGCCTGCTGGAAGACTGCAAGAGTGTGCTGGTCAGCCCAAAGAAGAATGTCACCTTGAATCCGTACAGGTCATGTGCAGTCCAGAACGTTGTCTTGTGCTTGTCTGCAAGGCTCCACTTTTTTTTTTTTTTTTTTTTTTGATCTGATGATATCTTGATATCTACTCTTTAAACCACCAGTGCCCCACCCAGGCAAAGTTGAGAACTGAAATTTTGGCTCAATCCCAAGAATTTGGATGAACAGTGCTACCGAACCAAAATGGCTGGTGGCGCTACCGTCTTCACCCGAAAATAACGCCCGGGCGTTGTGTACGAATGTAAAAAAACGTGCCCGGCGGGCGTTATATCCGTTTATAACGCCCGGGGGTTATATTCAGTAAAGTTGTGGTAACTTCGGTGAGGCCCCAAAATTCAAAAAAAAAAAAAGTGAAAAAAAAAATGTTGTCCAGGATTGCAATGCGACCAACTTTTGGCTGAGGGTCACTTCAGAAATCCTCGTAAACTCGGAAATAAAAGAAATAAAAACAAAAAAAAGCCAAAATATACCCCTTGGAAGTCAAACCCCCCCCATTCAACCCTCTTCAGAAACCCATGTATACCCCCTTCCCCGCCCTTTAAAACCCATGCATACTACCTCTTCAAGGCACTCTGCCCATGGAACATTCAAATATAACGCCCGGGCGTTCTATTCGAATATATAACGCCCGGGCGTTCTATTCGAAGGGGCGTTCTATTTGAAAAAAAGTGAGTAAAAACGAAAATCTCATCTTTTTAGGGGAAGTTGAATGTAACGCCCGGGCGTTATTTTCGGGTGAAGATGGTAGCCAAAAAAAAAAAAAAAAAAGGTGCACTGCTGCCACAGCAAAAAGAGGCTCGGAGGTATGGTGACAACCTTGCAGCCTTGCCCTCTGTCCAGCAGGTCGTCCATTCGCAACAGCAGCTTGGCATTTCTGGCGTATTGTTGTTCAACACTCTATGGACTACACATTGGTACTCCTTGTTTCTTAGGCATAAAAAAGCATTGACACTCCAAAAGGGAGGTGTTGCATCTGATCCACTCGTTTACTGTTTAGCTACGTAGCTCCTTCAGCTAGCTCTTCATTTCTTCCAGGCATGCAAGGGAAACGTGGTACACGGATCCTTTATAAGGAACTGCCCTAGGTACTACATGGATAGAGCATTGGACTTCCCTCTCCTCTATCCCCCCCATAGCTTCTTCTTGCAGATTCTCTCCCCACCCCCCAAACAAAGCCATGCTCCTTCGATTCTGGGGGTCGTCAGTTGGGTTCCTTTTTATCGTCAGTTCGGTTCCTATTCCACCGGCAAGTCAAAAAATGTGAATACAATCCTTCAACACGCTTCCCCACGTTATGGCCCGGGGAACACTGACAGCATCGATTTCTTCTCTTAGGGAAGGATTGACGGTCAGTCAAGCCCATACAAATTTTCAGATCCCCTCCCTCTAACTAACTCTTTACCCCCCGCCCCCTCCTCCTCTCCCCCCCCTCCCCTCCTTCCCAGACAGACAAAACCGACATGCTTAAAAAATCCCTGACTGACCTTTGTCTGTTCCTATCCCTCTCAGCTTAAACCCTAAACCCTAACTTGCCTGCTTTACCCCAAACCCTAGCATGTGTATTGTCTGTGATCACGTGCCCTTACTGTGAACCTGAGGTATTGATTGCTCCCTATTCGGGATGATTTTTTTAACCCCCGCTCCCTCCGACTCCACCTATCTTCTTCTCTTGCTGATCTGTTCCTTTCCTGTCCCTACCTTGTCCTTCCTTTCATTAAATGCGGCTGCTGCTGACACGGATGGGCTTGACTGCCGTCTTCGCCCGAATAGAGCGCCCGGTCGTTATAGCTGTGTTTGGCACAACTTTCGGTCCAGATGGAGCGATAATGACCGGGCGTTCTATTCGGGGGAAGAAGGTAGGCTGGCCACCATTGCTATTTTGTTCTCCTTGACGAGCTGCTGCACTTTTTGCATACCTTCTTTGTGATAAAGGGTTCGTTGACGACTCTGCTATGGTGGGTGACCCATGTTATCGAGAATGCTCGGCAATGCTACAACATGTAGTTGAAGAACACTGGTGCAGACTTTCAGATGGTTCTGGACGACATATGTTGCTAGATTCGTCTTCAACGTGGACGACTTTCAGATGGTTCTGGGCTGCTGGTGGGGGGTCTGGGTAGCAGAAGGCTAGAAGCCGTGTACCTGCACAGTCTGTGTCGGATAGGTAATCACGGCTTCTGCTACCCACAGCCACCAGTAGCCCAGGGCCATCTGAAAGTCGTCCAAGATGAAAAAGTGACACTAGCTGTCAGATTCTTCCTTCCTACCGTCTTGCCCCGAATAGAGCGTACACTGTAAGGTAATTTTATGCCTGCATTTGGGGAAAACAAACTTTCAGTCTAGATGCAGCAAAAATGACCGTGTGTTGTATTTGGGGGAACACAGTCTGTTTTGGATAGGTAATAATCAGTAATTAATCACGGATCCTGCTGTGCAGAGCCACCAGTATTGTCCAAGATGAAAAAGTGACACTACCGTCTTCACCCGAATATAACGCCCCGTCATTATAGCTGTATTTGGCACAACTTTCGGTCCAGATGCAGCGATAATGACCGGGCGTTCTATTCGGGCGAAGACGGTAGGTGTTAGATTCCTCCTTCCTACCGTCTTGCCCCGAATAGAGCGTACACTCTAAGGTAATTTTATGCCTGCATTTGGGGCAACTTTCAGTCGAGATACAGCAAAGATTACCATACTTTGTATTTGGGGGAAGATGGCATTCCGTGTCTCATCCATCCCCGTTCAGAAGCTCAACCCCCACAACTCCGTGGAGATCGTGCATTGTCATCACTAGGCGCAGCCTGTGAATTGCCTGCCGTCAGGGAGAGGTAAGTCTTGGTGGAGCTGTTGTCCGCCATCGTCCTGACCACCATCGTGTCGATGATAGTGTTCAGCAAGGTAACCTGGTTCTCCTCGTCGCAGTCCTCGAGTGGCTGCCTTGCTTCTATGGTTCTCTAGTGTTACATCTTCGACGCCACACGGGCCCTACCGGACCCGACTTAGGGCCAGAGGGACACAGTAGGGCCTAAAGGCCCGACCCTGGGGGTACTACAGGCCGTAAAGGCCTCATTTTGGACCAGACCCGACGGGCAGGCCCAAACGACATTACCGTTTGGGCCTGGCGGCGCTCTTGAGGCTGCCGCCCGCCGGTTGGGGCTGAACCGTCAATCTTGACGGTTCAGGGCACGGCCAGGCCTCGCAGCATAGAGGCCGGCCTCTTCCCCACCGGTACAAAAGTACCGGTCCAGCCTCACTTCGGTATCGAACCACCGGCACTCTAGCGGTGCGTTATGGTATAGCGCCAGAGCGCTAGCGCTATTCTTAGCGCAGGAGCACGAGGAGCAGCGGCAGCGAGCGGAGCAGCAGCAGCGGCGACTGAGCAGATCGGCGGCCATAGCCGCCTGAGGTATCGGGAGCCGGGGGTTCTCTCCTCCCTCCCGTCGCCAGTCCCCTCTCTCTCTCTCTCCTCCTCAACTCTCTTCTTCTTCTTCTTCTTCTTCTTCTTCAGACTTCTTCTTCTTCTTCTTCTTCAGATTGGAGACTTCATACTAGTTGGACAGAGATCAGTATTGGACTTCGGTGGTAAGAGGCTGTGGTACTGTCTCTTATACACATCTAGATGTGTATAAGAGACAGAGACTGTGGTACTTACCGGATTCGAGACTTGGAGATTGTTGGGGTTGATACTCGGCGGCATCACAGTTCGGACACCGTTTACATTAGGACTCTGTATCTCCGACATTGGTGACTTATTGTCCTCGACATTTTGATCTTGTTTGATGACATTTTGGACTACCATATCGGTGACCTATCGGATTCTATCTTGGTAACCTTCGGTGCTGTCTACCTCCCCCACCTCCTTCGTCTCTCCTCCCACCTTTCATCTGTGTATATATGTACGGGGCCTGAGCATCGTCTATGTATGGCTCAGACCCCACCATCTCACGATTGTATGTGTGTGGAGTGATATCTGTGTGAGTCAGTCTATGTGAGTCAGTCCGTTTATCAGACTTCTGTTGCATACATACTCGTCCTATATTGGTTGATCTTTGGTTCTGCCCCATACTCGTTGATAAAATCATGAGTGTGTAACAGTTTTGGTATCGGAGCAGACCATTTCACGGATCTGCTCACCAGCTAAGTCTGATTTAGGAATTAGATTGCTTCTTCAATCTTCCAAATCAGCTCTGTATTACTATCGAGTTTTCAAAGTTGCAAATTTTTTTTTCTTTTTTCGGTATTCTGTTTACTTCGGCATTTCCGTTTCAATTCGGTATTCGGACTTGTAATTCGGATTTCTGTTTTACTCCGGTATGCTGTTTAATTGGGTTCCGATAAATTGATACTAATCCGACATTCTGTTTAATTCGGATTTCTGGTTATTAATTCGTGATTAGGTTTAAATCAGTACTCTGTTTAATTCGGCATTCGGATTTCAATTCGGTTTCCGTTTTTATAATCCAGCATTCTGATTTTAATCCTGTATTTCGTTTTCTAAATCGGCATTTCCGTTTTATTGCAGTATGAGAAATTAGGGTTACGAAAATTTTTGGTTTTCGATCAACTTGGGAAATTCGAACGTTTTGGAACCGTAAATCCGGAAATTCCGCGGAATCGCGGAAAATTAGGGTTGGACTCCGAAATTTTCGCGATTTTTTTTCTCTCTCCCTTGATTGAGAAATTCCGAAAACGGACTTAGGCCTTTAAAAATCGGATTTTGCCGGTGGGAATTCCCGAAATTTCACGTTTTTTGAAATTTCGAGTGTTTTTCCTCTGATTTTTCCGATTTTTTTTTTGGCAAACTAATCCGAATCTGACCCTCAGAATTGCAACTTCCGGGTAGTTCACTAATTAACGGTGAACTCCCGGACCATAATTGATCTCAACGGATACTTAATCTTGATACAATTCAAATTCGTTCATTATCATTATTGCAAATATTGTTCTACTGATTATCATTAAGAATTATTATTTCGTTATTAATCATTAATTAATTTTATTGATTAAATAATTCGTTATTATTTTCTTACTACGAATTTTTGAGTTGTTGTGGGAAATTTAATTTTTCTATCTTGATTAGGTGTCTAAAGTCCATCAGTGGGACAGGGACTGTATGCGAAGTGCTTGATTGTTCTACCCCTGTTCCCACTCTCCCTACCCTCCCCGTAATCTGTGACCACCGGGAGTTCTCAAGTACCACATCAGCCAGCGCTGATGTCGATGGAACAGGACACCTGGGCACTGCCACGACGCAGTGCTAGGCTTGCAGTTCGTAACCGCCCTGTGGTACCTCCGCGAACCAAGTATCAGCAACAGCGACTCAGCAGGCGGACGACTCCAGCAGCATCGAGTACAGCATTGACAGTACCGGTTCCCACGGGAGTTCTTCCCGCATGTCCGGTCCAAGGGGCCCTTGAACCGCTGGCTGACTACCTTGGGCGGCTACAGGTATTCACAAATGCCGTAGCTACCGCCAAGGCTCAGCAGGAGGCAGCAGAGGCAGAACGTCAGCGGCTGGCCAATGAGGCGGCAGCCCAAGCTCAGCAGACTGCTGAGGCTGACGCAGCGGCACGAGACAGACGGAATGCCGCCAGCACGGAGTCCCTGATTCAAAATGAGAATCAGTGGACAATGCTACTCCAAGGCATGTTCTTTGTGCCTACAGACGCGCAGGCGGATCCAACACAGGCGGAGGCAGAGAGAGTAACCTGGCTACCGTGATGTTGAGCATGATGAGGGGAGTAATGTGGAACAACAAACTGCTGCAAGCACACCTGCTCACGGAACGACAGCAAAGGCAAAAGCACCAGCAAGAGGTGGCTGCTTTAACAACTGCCGTCCGCGCCCCAGCAACACAGCAGCAGCAACAACAACAACTGTTGGACTCCACTCTCGCGCGCATCAACAGCATTGAGGCTAAGACCTCAGCAGCGCCAGGCTGCATGATAGACGCGACAAAGCAGCTCAACGAGCGCATCGATCACGTCGTCACCATCATTGGCGAACTAGGTGATTTCACTAGTCCGGCCACGATCAGCAGCACGGTGGCCGCCATCAAGGCGAGCATCACCAAACTGCAGACAAGACCGGACGCCGCTACAAAGAATTACAAGATGCCGCACTTCGACATCAGCAAGTTCGACGACTACAACAAGTCGGACGCCTTGATATGGTGGCAAAGTTTCCTTACGGAAGCATCGTGCCGCACTGTCCCGACTGACGACATGATGAAGGCGCTCTACTTACAACTGATTGGAGGAGCGCAGGCATGGATGAACCATCTGGCGGCTACCAAGAAATGCACCATCGCCGAACTCCACACGCACATCACGTGGAAAGAGTTCGAGAAGCTATGGTTCACTCGGTTCATGGTCCGCAACGTCGTGAAGGCGGCCATGAACGAGGTGTACACCTGCTCTCAAGGGAGTATGTCAACTCGAGACTGTACAACCAAGTGGCAAAAGATAGTGACCACGCCAGGCTTCGATTTGAGTTTTACCAACCAACGATCCGAGTTCTTCTCGCGATCGTGCGCAGGACTGCGACTGCGAACCACACTCGGCAACGAGTACGATTACGCCTCATTCCAGACCCTCCTGGATCGTGCGAACTTGGTCATCCAAACGGATGACAAGACCGCAAACGAATGGCAGTCCCAGCCGCATTATGTGGCTAAGTAGGGCTATCAACGACCGACACATAATAATACCGTGATTTCTGACGAAACAGTCGATCTCCACGCTGCAGCAGCATCCTCGAGTGATGGAGGAATTGTAGCAGCGCTCCTGCCGAAGCGTCCCAAGAGAGTTCGGAAGAACAAGGCGACACAAGAGACGACATCGACGGGAACTGGGCAGCAGCCATGGACGACATACAAGATAACCAAGGAAATCTATGACCTTCGTCAACGGTTCGGATATTGCCTTTGGTGCAATGGAGTCACTCACTTGACCGCACAGTGCCCCGAAAAGGGCAAGGCACTCGTACCCTGTCCAGCTAACTCGGGAAACTGAGTTACGCAAGGAGAGGGGCGACGTCTCTCCTCACTCCGCCGGCCCCGGTTGCCTTGCTAGAAATCGATGTCACTACCGGGGAGCATGCGTTAGTCGCYGATTCTCGTGCTACGTACGAGGATTATGCCGCCCAGCTGGTACCACCACTAGACCAGCCGAGCCACGTGCACTTAGATTGCGTATGCGCAGCCTGTACACCGTCGGCAAGTGATCCGGTCAGTTCGCCACTGATTTCCGAGGACTCAACGGCGTGGTCAAGACTTGAGGAGCTTGACCCGCTCACGAGAGAGGACTTCGCTTGGATGCCTCTACCCTCGACCGGAACCTTGCCAAGGCCTCAACGCTCCTATTTGCACACTACAGTACCAGCTCCGTTGACGGACGACGGGGTAGCGGTTGTCGATCTCCGCTCCTATCTTGCGAAGATTGACCGCTAGTACGCCACCCAAAGGTACGCCGAAACCGACGCGCCTTTGCTCTATATCCGCATTGAAATCGGAAAGGCAACCTGTAGTGCCTGGATTGATTGCGGAGCGTCTCACAACTTTATGAGCCAAGCCTTTATGGCCCGCGCAGGCCTTGGCCCGCGCGTTCGAAGGAAGACGCAACCTACGCAAGTTACACTCGCGGACGGCCGCAAGCAAAAGTCAATTGACCGATGCGTCGACGGCGTTCCGGTATACTTTGCACCACTTGCGTGCGAGGCGGTGTCTTTTGACATCCTCGACACCAAGTTCGACATGATTCTAGGCATGTCTTGGTTGCGTAGCGCCGATCATCCGGTGAACTTTCATGACCGCACCGTTCACATCTGTGATCGGAACGGAGTGTTAGTCCCATGTACGGTCGCGACCCCTCACACTTCGATTTCTTGTCACGTGGTTTCCGTTGCGAGAATTCGCGAACTCGGAATGACGTCGAGGAGATGGGCCTTGTATTCTTGCATGCTCTCCCCTCGCCGGACGGACCAGCCGCGTCACCGCCGGACCCACGCATTTCTCACCTYTTGGACGAGTATAGAGACGTCTTCGAGGCTCCCACCGGAACGGTTCCGTATCGGCCCATACGTCACGGGATCACTCTCGAGGCTGGCGCTGTCCCTCCGCGTGGATGTATCTACCGCATGAGCGAAGAGGAACTCGAGGTGCTTCGCACACAACTCGATGACCTTCTCAACAAGGGTTGGATTCACCCTAGTTGCTCGCCATACGGTGCHCCTGTTCTCTTCGTCCGGAAGAAGAACAAAGATCTACGGTTATGCATCGATTATCGCAAACTTAACGCACAAACCGTAAAGAACGCCGGCCCTCTCCCTCGGATTGATGATCTCCTTGAGCGGTTAGGCGGCGCGACGTACGTCTCGAAGTTGGACTTGTAGTCGGGTTACCACCAGATTGAAATCCAGCCTCAAGATCGGTACAAAACCGGTTTCAAGACGCGGTACGGGCATTTTGAGTGGGTTGTCATGCCCTTTGGCCTCACCAATGCCCCCGCGACTTTCCAAGCAGCTATGACGACTAAAGTTCGCGACTTGCTCGATCGCAGCGTCCTCATCTACCTCGACGACATCTTGGTCTATAGTAGGACGTTGGACAAGCACATCATACACCTTCGCGCTGTTTTGGATCGTTTGCGATTGGCCAAGTACAAAGCGAACCGCGACAAGTGCGAATTCGCCAAGCAGGAGCTTGAGTATTTGGGCCACTATGTTACGCCGAAAGGCATTCGTCCCTTAGCGGACAAGATCCAAGCCATTGTGGATTGGCCGGAACCCCGTTGCACGATGGATGTACGCTCTTTCATGGGTTTGGCTGGATATTATCAGCGATTCGTCGAGTCATACTCGAAAGCGGCCGCTCCTTTGTCGAGACTTCAGTCCCCGAAGGTGCCCTTCGAGTTCGACGACGCAGCCCGTGGCGCGTTCACTACGTTGAAGGCAGCGATGCAAGCCGCACCTGCCCTCCGTATATACGACCCCATTCCCACCCAAGTGACTACGGACGCTTCGGGATACGGTATTGGTGCGGTGTTGGAACAGTGTCACGAGGACGGTTGGCATCCGGTCGAGTATTTCTCCCAAAAGGTGCCTCTTGTCAACACTCTCGACGACGCTAGGAAGAAAGAGCTACTCGCGTTCGTCACCGTTCTCAAACAGTGGCGCCACTTTCTTCTCGTCCGTCAGCGTTTTAAATGGAATACGGACAACAATCCGTCGACCTTTTACAAAACGCAGGATACGGTCATTAGCACGATTGGTCGATGGGTGTATTACATTGACCAGTTCGACTTTGACCCGTGCCACATTCCCGGTCCCGCCAATCGAGCTGCGGACGCCCTCTCACGACGGCCCAGTTTTTGTGCCATTGTGACCACGACATTCGACCTCGATGACGATCTGCAGCCGCACTTCGTGAAAGGCTACAAGTCCGATCCGACTTACTCTACGCTTTATGCAGAGCTTTCATCGGATCACACGCCGGCTAGCCACTATCGGATTTCTGACGGGTTTCTCCTCCTTCACACGAGAGGAAAGGACTTGTTAGTTGTGCCCCAAGATCGCATCTTACGAACTCGTCTTCTCGGCGAATTCCACGACGCACGACTTTCAGCACACCTTGGCGTGAACCGCACATTAGCACGCCTCCGCCAACATTTTCACTGGCCCGACGTCCTTCATGACGTCACGAGGTACATTGAGTCATGTGCAGTTTGCCACCGTAACAAGGGTCGATCTCGAATCCCCTTTGGCGAACTGAAACCATTGCCGATTCCTCGGGCACCGCGCCTCTCAATTGCTATGGACGTGACAGGCCCGTTCCCCCGCGATCGCCATGGCCATGACGGTATTCTCACGGTTGTTGACGGTTTGAGCAAGTATGCTCGCTTCCTTCCTTGCAAGTATCATGCTGCAGCACCCGAGCTCGCACTACTCTTGCGCACCATTTGGATTACCAACCAGGGTGTTCCGGAAGACATAGTGAGCGACTGAGATACACGCTTCATGTTGGCCTTTTGGACTTCCCTCATGGCTGAGTTCGGTACGACAACGAAGCCGAGCTCGGCTCGACACCCGCAGACGGATGGTCAGACGGAGCGAGCGCACCAGACCGCTCAGATGATGTTGCGTACGCTCATCCGTCCCGACCAGAAAGATTGGGTTGACCGGCTTCCCGACATCGAGTTCGCCTATAACACTTCGGTGCACCCGGCGATCTGCGTCGCACCATTCGAGCTACATCATGGTGGAGAGAAAGCATGGATCTTCGCTGATCTCCTTTTGCCACAGTCTGCCGACTTAGACGTCCCTTGCTCTCCCGCTTCCGTTCGGAAGTACCGGGACTTGCTGATCAAAGCCTGCGCGAATATGCAAAAGGCCCAAATCCGCATGCAGCAGCAAGCTAACCGACGTCGACTTCCATGTCCTTTCCGCGAGGGAGACCTTGTTTGGGTCCTCTCCGAGGAATTTGCGCTCGAGCAGGACGTTTCGCGCAAACTCCTTCCGAAATGGTTCGGACCATGGGAAGTCACTTCTGCCGTTGGAGACGACCCCGCAGGTCCTTCCTTTGTGGTCAACATTCCTCCGCACCTTACAGTGCACCGGGTCTTCCACGCGTCGAAGCTGGCCACCTACACGCCACCTTCCGCCGACGAGTTCCCCGGTCGTCGATCATAGGATCCGCCTTCTATGGACGGACATCAAGAAGTGGACCGAGTCATCACGCACCGCAAGTATGGCAACAAGCCAATGCAGTTCAAAGTCACATTCAAGCAATGTGCGCCTGACGACACTCGGTGGATCTCTAGTGCAGACTTGCAAACTTCTGCACCCCTTATCTTCGCCGACTATGAGAAGCGACGCCTTGCCAAGGAAGCAGCTCGTCCCACCTGACCCATCCCGGTATCGGACAGACAACTTCGCTCTCGCAGGTTGCTCGGTCTTTTAAGAGGGGGAGTGTGTTACATCTTCGACGCCACACGGGCCCTACCGAACCCGACTTAGGGCTAGAGGAACACAGTAGGGCCTAAAGGCCCGACCTTGGGATACTACAGGCCGTAAAGGCCTCATTTTGGACCAGACCCGACGGGCAGGCCCAAACGACATWACCGTTTGGGCCTGGCGGCGCTCTTGAGGCTGCCGCCCGCCGGTTGGGGCTGAACCGTCAATCTTGACGGTTCAGGGCACGGCCAGGCCTCGCAGCATAGAGGCCGGCCTCTTCCCCACCGGTACAAAAGTACCGGTCCAGCCTCAYTTCGGTATCGAACCACCGGCACTCTAGCGGTGCGTTATGGTATAGTGCCAGAGCGCTAGCGCTATTCTTAGCGCAGGAGCACGAGGAGCAGCGCAGCAGGAGTATCGCAGCAGCGGCAGCGAGCGGAGCAGCAGCAGTGGCGACTGAGCAGATCGGCGGCCATAGCCGCCTGAGGTATCGGGAGCCAGGGGTTCTCTCCTCCCTCCCTTCGCCAGTCCCCTCTCTCTCTCTCTCCTCCTCGACTCCTTCTTCTTCTTCTTCTTCTTCTCCTTCAGACTTCTTCTTCTTCTTCTTCTTCTTCTTCTTCTTCTTCTTCTTCTTCTTCTTCTTCAGACTGGAGACTTATACTAGTTGGACAGAGATCAGTGTTGGACTTCGGTGGTAAGAGGCTGTGGTACTTACCGGGTTCGAGACTTGGAGATTGTTGGGGATGATACTCGGCTGCATCACAGATTG